TGGAGATCACATCCTCTGTTTGGATCCTGAGAATTGCTCCCCTTAGGTGGCAGATGGAGGGTGGTTTCAAACCCCTGGGCAGCTGGGGTTTGCCTGATCCACAAATAGTAGGTGGTACTTGTTTAGTTCCTCCAAAGCTGTACTGAATGGAGTGCTTTTCCCCCCAGAGAAAGGTAAGCACAGTGATTTTCCAAAGGAATTTTACACAGCAGAGGATAAGGCTGCTGCCTGAGTATGAACAGGAACGGGTTTGAGCTTTAGCAGGGGAGCATGAGGATTGCAGTTGTACCAAACTAGGTGATCACCTCATTTAGAAACCATTTTTAGTGACCCAGAGGCAGAGCCAGAGCAATGAATACTAGAAGTGCTCAAACAGGACTTTGGGTATGGTTTAGTGGTGAACATGGGGGTGCTTGTTAATGGTTGGACTCGATGATCTCAGAGGTCTTTCCAGCCTTAATAGAGAAAGACTTTACAGGGACATGCAGTGACAGGACAAGGAGCAGTGGCTTCAAAATTGAGAGAGAAAGAAGAAAGAGAGTAGGGATAGATGGATATTAGGAAAAAATTCCTCCCTGGGAAGGTGGTGAGACACTGGCTTGGGTTGCCCAGAGAAGCTGTGGCTGCCCCATCCCTGGAAGTGTTCAAGGCCAGGTTGGACAGGGCTTGGAGCAACCTGGGCTAGTGGGAGGTGTCCCTTCCCATGGTAGGGGGTTGGAACTGGATGATCTTTGAGGGCCCTTCCAACCCAATGATTCTATGATCAGGAATAAAAATGTAAAAACCTTGCAATGTAAAAGGGTATTAAATAAATGCCCTGCTGTTTGGATGTGGCTTTGTTACCTGGTTGGCTTTTAAATATGGCTTTGCATTGCAGTGAGAGAGGGAAAAAGGGAATCTTTGATGAAAAAAAATCTTGGGCAGTGGATGAAATCAAAGAGAGCAGGAAGGATGGTTCCATGGGCAGCATGAAAGCCAGGTTAGCTGCAATTAGACAGATCTCCCTGGCACAAAAGTTAGTGGCAACTGATGTCTTTTTGCCTGATGAGGATGGATCTTTTTATTCATCCATGCTGTTGTGATAATGCAACGTGTTCTTCATCTGTGGGGAAGGGGGGAGGAACTAAGGCCAGCGTGCTGCTGTTGATGGGAGGTTGACATCATCGTTCATGGATGTTAAGGGCCTCTTTCCACATTTTGGGGAGTATGGGGAGTTTTTTGGTGTGATAATGATGTTCTCTGTTGCAGCAGACACACCCCTCTTAAGGGAACCTTTGGGAATCATGTAAGATTTTGAGGAGAGGGCAGGCAAATCCCCCCCTTCCTTTACCCACTTGAGCAGTGGCACATGACAGATTCATGCCTGCAGCACTTCTAGGTTTTATCTGCTCACTAAATTTTATTTCCCCTCTGTGAGTGTTTATATTGCTTAGAGACTGCCAAGGTTCGTGTTAATCATAAAAAAAAAAGTGGAGGTTTATTAGGTATTGCAGCTCTGTGATTCTTTGGTTTTTGAATGTTAATGAAGCTTTGTATGCTCTGGAATAGCTGGAGAGGTGGATCTTAGCTCTGGCATGGTAAAATATCTGAGGGTGGATTTTTCTTCCCTTTCCTCTGGGTTTTAACATCTTACATGACATTTCATCCAGAGCAATTTTCCACCATTTATCATCGTGTGTAATATTGTCATGCTGTAATTTTGCAAGTGTATGAAAGGCAGGAGGAGGGTGAGGATGGGCTCAATTACACCCTGGAGGGAGGGGAGGGCTCCATGGAAGGACCAGCTCCTGGGACAGAATGAATTGGATGTCAGCACTTTACCAGAGCAGAGCGACAGAACAGAGGGGAATTTATTATTTTTAGGGACTCAGTGGGCAGACAAGGAGAAAGGAACCTCTCAAATTGCAGTTCTAATGGTCATTTCCATAGGCTGTGCATGTATGTGGGATTCAACAAAAGAACAGACATTCATTCTCACTCCAGACAGCTCAGTTCTGTCTTCTGCTGAAGGCTGGGTTTCAAGCAACCTTTCTTTTTTCCTTGTACATTGTATTTGGGGCAGAGTAGCCAAACTGGAGAGCTGAGCATTTCTTTTTTTTCTGAATTTCTAGCCAGGGCTGCCCCTGAGCTTTGGCTTTGGTAGAACAAGATGTACTTCTGGCTTAGTGCCTCCAGATTGACCTCAGAGGAGACTTGTGTCATTGTCATCGTTGTGTACCTACATTGTAATCAGAGGAAGTACCAAGCCTGACACACTCCCCTCTTAAATGGAGAGAGTTGATGGACATGTACTCTGTGCTCTTCCACATTGGTCTGCCAGAGCAGGGATGTGGTGACTCTTTATAGGGAGGGGCCTTTTTTTCCAGTTCTCCTGTTGGAAAAAAGTAGAGAGTGCTGGCATTGTTAATCCACAAAGTCTCTTCTTTTAACTATACTTTTCCAAAATGACTTTTCACAATTTTTTCAGGTGTAATATTATTTCTTTTGGGGATGAGAACTCGTGAAATTACATTTCCATCTTCCTTGAATCCAGCTGAGACTTCTTCCTCTATCACCATGAAAAGAGATATGACTTCCCCAGGTTGGAAACCCAAGACTTTCATAAAACTGGTCTGAAATATTTCTGTTCAACCCTGTGGGCATTGATAGAGTGAAGGTGGATCCCAAATTTTTTTGGTCAGAGTAGTGCAATTCATACAACTGTACTCCTTTTCCACCAGATCCCTCTCCAACACTCCAGGACTCTCTTACACATGTTCTCTTACAAGATCCAGCAGTAAGTGTTTCTCCCTCTACTGCTGCCTTTTGCTTAATTGACCCATTTTGCAGCAGATTAGGCCCCAAGGAGGAGGTTAATACAAGCAGTAATTCTAAAAGGCAGTTTGAGGCTTCAATGAACTGTTCATCATTGGAAAAGCCTGTTAGCCCCTTTCTTCTTACCTTTTTACACTATAATACTCTGACTTAACAATGAACTTAGGAATGTGTCCTGCTAGATAGAGTCTCCACACCTCTCTCTTTCCTGAGTTTTGACTTGGACAGGATGGGTAAGATTTAACACCGTGCATACAGATTTACCTTCTCTCTTCCTTTTTGTCTTAAAACAAGAATTGTAGCCCTGGACCTTTCAGTAATAGTCCCAGTGTGCTGTGTGCAGTGTAGGAACACATCTCACCAGGCAGTTCATCTTTCTGTGGGGTTGGTGAGAAGACTCTTTCCTGCCCTGCAAGCAATTACAGTGGCCCCTTGAGTCCGTGCAGGATTGCATATCCCACTGCTCCCAGCACTGCAGCTGCTGGAATGATCGAGGGGCAGAATTAGAGCAAATTTCAATGTGAACCAATATTAAGCAATTAGTTCATATTTACTGATTATAATAATACATAATATTATTGTTATAAAAATAACATTATTGGTGAATTCTGAGATGTAGTCAGCTTGCTGTTTATTAGCCACTATTCCTGACAAGCCTGTCCACTATCCTGTAGGAATTATCCCTGTGTTTTCCCCACTTTCTACCATCATCTCTCCTATACATTAGGCAAGGAACAACTTCTGTCTGTACATATTATTCAATTACCTTGAACACCCATACCAGAAAATACAGAAGATTGTAACATAACTGTAACAACAACAGGGTGGATGAAACCTGAATGACTGGATGGAGCTGAAAAATGTGTGGTTTTTCCTTGCTAGGGCAGTAAATGATACTGATGCCTTTAGTGCAGGTCGCTTCTGATACTGGAATGGGGTCATGATTTGGGGGATGAGCACACACATGGAATGGTGGCAGCATTCCTGCAGGCAGGGGCATTAGCCAGGGTCAGGCACACAGTCCCTGCCACATCCTACCACTGAAGTTCTCTTAGTAGATGGATTTTGGTGAGACTGGGGAAAATTTGCAGTGCTGGGCTCAGCTTGTGGTGCCATGGTGAGAAAGTGGGATTCTGAAGCAAACAGATTGAGCCTGGGGGTAGGAAAAACATCCTGCAAAATCCGTGCTGCTGGTGCAGCCACCTCTAATTTAGGCAGTGGAAGTCCAGAGCCATTTATGCTGCATTTGCAGAATTATGGGACCAAGAAAGCTTTGGGGAAGGGAAGAACGTGAGTGCTTTACAGACCCTTGCGCAGTCTTCAGGGAATACACAGCTCAGCAAAAATCAAGGGTCAGGGCCTCAGTCCAGACACAGAATAGGGACAGAAAACTTGCTGTTGAACGAACTATTTAGGAAGGACTTGGAAGGGCTGGAGAGAAGGGAGCTACAGCAAAGAAACAGAATGGTGCAGCAAGGTAACCTGCTGGGAATGAGGAGAGGGGGAATTTTTGAGCCCCAAAGTGGATTTTGTGTCTGCTGCCTCCAACACCAGCATCTGCTCTTGGACATGCTGTGAGGTTTCCATGCTGGGTTTTGTCAGTGGTTGGGATATTGTCCTTTTACAGCTTTGAGAAATAGAGGATTCCCTTTCTCCCTCCCTTCCTTCTGCGAGGCACAATTTGCCCTTGTTTAATCACCCAGAAGGCACAAATGGATATGTGCTACAAAGGCCTCATTCCTCCTCTCTGCTTGCCTGCCTCTGTCTCAGAAAAGCAGAACCTTCCGTGGTTATAAGGCAGTTTGTCCACACAGACCAGACCCCAAATGACAATTCTGGCTGCTGGGGGCTCCTGTTGGGCCAGCAGATGATGACACTGGTGCAACAGCTAAGAGCATGGGAACACAAAGCCATTGAGGACAACAAATGCTTCAGCAAAATCCATACATTTACAAGGGGTTAAACAGGAATGTGCAATCCTGAAAGTGTATGAGGGAATGGGAATGAAGTGAGGATTCAGGGCTGTTGGATCCAGTATTCATTCAATTATCATGCTTAGTTAAGTAGTGCACAGTGCAGTGAAGGCTGCAGTCTGTTAGAATGTCTGTTCCTATAAGTCATTTAATTATGAGGTTGCTCATATGCCATTTTAACATATGTAGAGTAACATTATCCCTCTTTTGTAGGTCACTATTCTCATCAGCCTGGCTCTTGCATTCCTTGCCTGCATAGTGTTTCTTGTGGTGTACAAAGCCTTTACTTACGACCACAGTTGCCCAGATGGATTTGTTTATAAGGTAAGAAACTTCAGATGGATGAATTGCCTGAGCTAATGACAGACTCTAATTGACTACATGGTTACAGTCCAGTCTGCTTTTTTTGACCAGGCCAAACAGAACATTTGGCAAGAACGTGTTGAAATGGAAAAAGTGTTATGGGAAATGTGGATGTGCATCTGCCTCCATCAGCTACTGTTACACTGTAATTGCTGGGATTAGCATTTGGTGAACACTACAGACAGATGTTCAGGAACAATCCCTCATATTTGTGAATGGATTTATTGCAGCTGGAATCCTGCCTTTGCTTCCCACACTTTCAAGTAGCTGAGGTTTACTGGCATACATTTTAATGCAAAGCAAACTCCTGGAGTGCTGACACGTGTCCTTTGTGAAAGAAATCCAGATTTGCCCAGATATAGTTCACTTTTAGGTGCTTTCAAGCCTCTATCAAGAACAAAACCGTGTAACAATTGCTAAAACCCCACTGCCCAGTGATTTTATATTGAATATTCACAGAGAACTATTTGCCTGGTCTGTTGTGATTAAAAAAAAAAAGTTTGCAAAATAATTCACTGACTCCTCACTGTGAATAAACTCATAAACTCACAGGAGTCTTGACCACACTAGGGATGATCTGTAGGCTGGAAAATAGAGTAAGATGTTGGTGTATTAGTCATTGTGAATTATTCACTTAAGTTATATAAAAAGGGAGAATTGGGATTGTTCAGCCTGGAAAAAAAAAAGGCTTCGGGTAACCTAATTGCAGCTTTCCAGTATCTGAAGGGAGCCTACAAGAAAGATGGAGAGAGACTATTTACAGGGGCATGTAGTGACAGGATAAGGGGGAATGGCTTCCCTCTGACAGAGAGCAGGGCCCCATCCCTGGAAGTGTTCAAGGCCAGGTTGTACAGGGCTTGGAGCAACCTGGGCTAGTGGGAGGTGTCCCTGCTCATGGCACGGGTTTGGAACTGGATGATCTTTAAGGTCCCTTCCAACCCAAACCATTCTATGGTTCTATGATAAAAGTGAAGTTTGGACAGTCATGAATTTCAGAATCAGATTCAAACCCGCACTTCTGAGCAAGGCTGGCCTGTTGGGCTGTGCTTGCTTCCATCCCTGACCAAGGTGCTCGTCCCACGGGTCAGGAGAACACCCTGCAACAGAGCAGCTCGTAAGCTGCTTGCTCAGCCTCAGCCTGTCCTCTCTGCTTGTCTGAGGATTAATTCTGGACTTGAATCTACAGAGCTTTTGGTCCAGCACATGAGCAGAGCTGCTCAGCCAGCCCTGGCTGGCCCCCAGCAAGGGGCCTCGATATCTGTGCTTGTCAGTAACACACCAAACCTTCCCTACACAGCCCCCATTTCCCATCCAGGGCTGAAACCAGCCTGCCATCAGGGTTGCCAATAGCAACAGGTTTTGAAGGCTGCTGCCCGACTTGGTGCATTCCCAGGGGCACCGAAAGGCAACTGCAGCAAGTCTGAGTCAAACATCCTCCATGCAAACAGCCAGCCAGGAGACTTTGGAGAGAGGCTGGCGGGGTCACTCTACTTTTGCTTTCTCCCCCTTCCCAGCACAAGCGGTGCATCCCGGCCTCGCTGGACGCCTACTACTCTGCACAGGATTCCAACTCCCGGGGCAGGTTCTACACCGTCATCAGCCACTACAGCATGGCCAAGCAGACCAGCTCCCGGGCCGTATCGCCCTGGATGTCCTCGGGATCCGCAAACCACGAAGCCAAGGCTGCCAAGACAGAAGGTCATTAAAGGGAACGAGCGGTGGTTGGGCAAAGAGGGAGGGTGGGGGGACAACACCGTGTCTATACTGCTCTAGCTGAGCGTGCTGTGCCACCAGCACGGCAGGAATAAATAAAACCCAAGTGCAGGAGTCATCTTAATGGATATTTCTTTTCGTGCATTGTTCTCGTTGATTTGTAACCGAGTCGAGCTCTTGTACAAAGGCATGTTTGATGTTGACTGTACCTTAACGATGTAAAAATATTTTTAAATCATTGCTTAACTATTTGTTAGAAAAATAAATTAAAAAACAAAAAAAGCAAATTAGGTAAACAGCCAGAGAGGATAAAAGCAGCAAAGAGAATCATGCAAAGTTTTGTCATCGCTGGAAAGCTGCGACAGAGGCTCAACGTGCAGTGAAGGAAGAGCTGAAATCCTTTCAAGAGGGGGTGGAAAGAACCCGGTACAAAGACATTATGATGTTGTTTAGTTGCCAAAGGGGGGATATTTTGCTGTCAAATTGAATTTAGTGTCAGTGTTCATTCACTGATAGAGAAATACAGGCATCCCCTCGTCCCTCAAACATAGACACGTGCAAATACACATGTGCCCACACCCCTGTGCAGTGGCCCAAGTAAATCCAGAAAGATCTCAGCATTCCTAATGAGCCACCACAGTGCTGGTGATCCTGGCTGGGCTCTGAGGCTGAAATCCAAGTTACTGTTTGAACATGGAGCAGGATGGAAGCAGGCAGAGGCTGCTGCAGTGAAATCATGAACGTACTTTTGAGCACAGGACTCAGAGTCAGGAGATCAGGGCCCTACTGCTTCTGGCATACATTTCCTGCATGACCTTTGGCAATTCCACGAGGCTTTGTCCTTTGGGACCTCTCTCCTGAGGGTTACTGAGAGACAAAGAAATGCCATTATGATTTGAGGAACCTCTCAAAAGTGGTGACAGTATAGAACAGTATTAAGCCTCTAACTTTCAGCCCCTAATTTTCTCTCACCCATGAAATGGGATGCTCCTGCTTCCCTCCTTCAGCTACAGATACTTCAGCATTCAATGTCATTCCAGGTCACTAAAGAGGGGTATCTGTAGCTCTCAGAGTACAAGGGTCTGTCTGCTTGCAAACACAGACCAGATCCCAAGCTTAATCCAGTCCTGAGCAGTGTAAAGCATCATCTCCCACAAATTTAGTGGAGACTGGTGGGATTTTAAGAAACCCCAAGGATTCTCTTTTTTTCAGAGCTGCAAGCCTTTGCTGCAGAGCAGCTCTGCTCCTCAGGAGCACAGGCAGGGAGAGCCCAGCAGCAGGAGCAGAGTGCATAGGTTCACATTTGACTAAGGCTGCTTTTTCAGATTCGTGGCTAGACTGGGATGGAAATTAGGAACTGGCCCCTTTTCCCCCCGCATTGGGCAGTTTTGTCCTCATTGTCACATACATAGACAGTAGGCAGTGTGTGAGGGCAGAACTCCTCAGTCCTAACAGGCATCATGATAAATAACTGTATAGTGTAGCTAAAAATGTAGTGCCAAATGCCATTGTCTGATCTCCTCTCCTCCCTTCCCTTTCCACCTGTAAATTCATTTCTCACTCAAAATGTACAAACCACCCCCTCCACCAACAACCCAAACTCCAGCAGAACCACTGAACAGTTTATAATTTTGTGGTGTATTTTTTGTCAGTAGGTAGCAGAGACTGAAGTATTTTTTGGTGTAATTCTTGAACTTTTCTGACGGGATTAAAATAAAGCTTGATGTGACTGAGCGTCTCCGTGGCTCCAGCAGGTTTGTTTGGCTCCTCGTGCCCTGGGCTGGGAGGTGGGGGGTGGTGGGAGGTCTATGTGGTGCTGAGCAGAGGCTGCACCCTTGCACCAGAACAAAGGTGACTCTGGCTTTCAGGAGGCACATTCTTGAGGCATTTTCATTCCTTGTGTTCCTGCCCATTTTTCAATTGCAAATAGAAGCTGATCTGCTGCTGGTGATTTTTTGCTTTACAGTGGCCCTTCCCTTCTTTCCCATTTTAAAACCAATGGATGATAGGAACTTTGCCTGGGAGCAGTGTCTCTTTTGCCACCTGCTCCTGGTGCTGCTCCGTAGGAAGGGCTGTTAAAAAAAGGAGCACTGCAGGGAAGTCCAGCAGAAAAAGAGCCATATAACAAAACCACAACTATATTCATCTCACATAGTTCAGAAAGCAGATTGTATTTCCTCAAATCCTTCAACTCTTCGAAATGAAATGATACCCTGGCATTAAATTGACTCATTCCCAAAGGCTAAAGAACATTTTATAAAACCTTTGGATGGCTTTCCTTCCAAAAAAAAAAGTGTATTCAGAGTTGTGAAATTGAGCTACCATAGGAGAGGAATCACTCTGGTGTTAGAGGTCACTGCTGAGTACTTGTAAAATGTATTAAAAAGGATCCAGTGCTTTGCAGGATTGAGTCACAGGATAATTTGACCATGGACTTCTATTGCCAGTTTCCCAGTAATACTCTAACTGTATGTTTACTTTAATCTAAAAAACCCAGGAATCAAATAATTTGAATTAAAAGGTTCTAGCTATTATTAGATAAGTGAGTCAGTGGGGATAACCATTCCTATTTAATAAGGGAAAGATCAAAATCTGTATGGAGCAGAATGAAAAAAAAAAAAAAACCCAAGAAAGGCTCATGGGAGAGCAAAAGAAACCAAACAACTCAACTCCAGCCGCAAATTTCATCACTGTGAATGTTCTTATTACAGTTTCTGTACAAACTGCAGAAGAGCTTCCAAGATCAACCATGTATTTTAATCACAGTTACAGAGAGAGAAAATTGGAATTGTAGTACATCATCTTATTATTTCAGTCTTTAAAAGCCTCCTTCAAGGTTGGTCATATGTTTCAATGCTGATTAAAGCAGCGTGTTGACAGACTCATCCTGGCTGTCATCTCTCTGTGGAGTCTAAAGCTCTTGATGGGCTCTAGAGAACAGTGTTTTTGTGAGCTGGTGTCTGGGTGAGGGCTCAGGCTCAGCTCTGAGTGGTACTGATGAATAAGAGCCTTCCCTGTGCTTCGGCCAACATTTATGTGATGGTCAAGTCCATCAGCTCCAACCTCTCCATCTGTGACTGACCCTGGTGAAGCAGGAATCCCTTTGGGCAATCTTCTCCATTATATTAGAATGCTACAGTGGGCTCAGAGGATGAATTCCCCACCAAAATATGCTTGTGGACCACAGGGACTGGAAGAGTTGACAGTCATGCAGGGGTGGGTGCCTGGACTGTTTGTTTGTCCTACTGGAGTGGTAGGAAGGGTGGAACAAGAAATGTCAGCACATGAAAGAGCTCATCTTGTGGGGAAAGGGCATCCTGAACAGGCAGCAATCCTGTGGGATGTCTGGCAGAACATGTGGAAAAAAACCCCAACTTTACTAAAGGTGTGGTGATGCCATAGTGGGAACTCAGCTGCCCCCAGTCTCGGCTTAGGAAGTGAAGGAAGAAACTATGGCTACTGGAGCCTGAAAGACTGGAAGGAAGAGAAAACGAGATTGCCACCAGCCAAGGCATGGAAGCAAGAGTTGCTTTTCTGCTGTAACCCAGTGTAACAGGGAAGGGCAAAAACTAAGTCAGGGGAAAAGCAGGTTCGAGAAATTCTGGAACGTGAATAAACCAAACACTGTTGCTAGCTGGCAAAAATAGCTATTTATTAGAAAAAGGTGGCAAACAAGGAAAAGGGAAAAAAACAGGCACCTGAGGGAAAAGGTTCAGGGCGGAGGAAAAAGTGCACAAAAGACCCCAAAAAGATAGCTCGACACCCTACTCACCCAGGTGTCACCTGTAAGAAGGTCTTACCCACTCTATCCAGTAATAAAGCTTCTTTGTAGCAGCTGCGAGTTCCATAGGGGTGGCAGGCTCCCACTTCAGCAGGCATCCCTGCTAAAAGCAGCTTGGTCCATCGTGAAGAACCAGCCACCCTCAGGGAACGTGTCTGCCTTTATAAAGTTTATTGAGAGCACCTGCCCCGGGGAGGTGTGGCCAGCACTGCCCGTCAGGGGCTCTCAATCCCACCCTCTTGGTTATGTAAGTGCACCCCTCCTTTGGAAGTGAGCACTTTGGAAGTTCCCCCACGCAGGTGCAGTGAATTGGGGGGGGTCTTTCCAATTGAGGCTGGGGGATGCCTTCATCACCTTCCTCATCACTTTGTCCTCCAACTGCCCTTGATGAGCAATTGACCAATCACAACAGACCAATTAAAACAGTTTATACAGAAGTTCTCCCTCCAAGGCCAAGTTCACTGCTTTATCAGAATACTTGGCAGGAGAAAACATAAACTGCTGCAGGTGGCTAGGGCCAAACACAGACCAAAAAAAATAACATCCAACTTCGTCCCAATACACCCAGTGACCCTAAAACACTGCGTCCTGCTTGACTGACACAGACTGGCTTGTTTTGGAAAAGCTGCCCATTGTTGCTCCAAACTTCTGCTGACTGCAGGGCCCTGAGGGGAACTCCAGTCATCTTGGACTGCCTGCAAGAACAGGGTGAGGAAAGGAGGTGCCAGTGACAGGACCTCAGGGCTGGTGGGGCTCACTCCTAAAACAGGCTCACTCCTAAAACTTGGGGCTTTGGAACTAAAGACAGCTCAAGGTGCTGCCAGAGCCTCTGGTTCCAGATCAGAAAAGTAACAGTCCCTGTCCCTTTACATGTGATTTTTTTTTTTATTCCCTTTATCCCCCTCTGTGCTTGCCAGCTGTTTCTGGTTTGTAATAATACTTCCAGTGATAAGTGTAAGGGTCATGCACTGAACTGTCTACAATCACATTTTATACGATTAGTCAGGGGTTTTTTAAAGCACCCTAATTATTACAGTCAAACCGGATTAAGCTGTTCCTCTAATAGATTTTCAGTTCCTGTAAAATAGGCCAGGGAAAATGACTTATAGGAAGGGATGGGGGAAGAAAAGGCTCTTTTCTTCCATCTCTTTGGCCTTTGCTTTTTTTTAAAATGCCAGCAGTGGCAGGGCATTGCAGGGATCCCACAGGGAGCACTGAGTGCCCAGCAAAGTTGGGGGTCTCTGTCACTCAGCTCCCCTGCTCACCTGGACTGGTGCCCTTTGAGGGGCAAAAGAGGTAAAATCCTTTTGTTTGAGAATGTTACTTTACTCAGGAGGGTGGATGACAAGTGATTTGAAAGGTCTTGGGTTGCTTCCTCCTGGAAAATAATCCATGGTAAGCACAGGAAGGATGGGAGGTGCAGTGGTGTTATGCCTGACCCGCTCCTCGCCGGGAAAGGCTGGCCAGGATTAGTGCTGAAGAGGC